TCTTATTGGAGAGGTGAGAGCTCAGGGGGAGGCTGGCTGGAGGCAGGGCTCCTCTCTGTGTCCTCGCTAACTGCCCCTTGCTCTCTGGCCTGTGCATGGTGATAGCAGATCATGTGTGGCAATGTCCACACCAACCAAGAGGGCTTGGCACTGCATCAGCACAGTGTCACAGCTCTGGTGTTTGCAGAGCACTCTCCAGAATGCCAAGCGCTTTGTCTGAGTCCCAACAGTGGACATGGGGTGTAGTGACCCATTTCAGGGTATGGAGGCTCAGAGACATGAGTAACAGAGTTAGTGAGGGTGGAGGCAGGGCCCAAACCCAGGCGCCCTAACTGCTCCCACACACCTGGCTGCGCCTGTGGCAGAGGTCGTACTGTTTGCAGGGCTGTTGGTTGTGCTCCCACAGCTGAGGCTGGCAGTTCTGTGGTGACATGATGCGCCATGTGTCCAAGTTGGCACAGAGCTGGGGGCACAAAGAGGACTTCACTGGAAAGGAGGATCTGTGGGGACAATGAGGAGACTTTGGGGGCAAGATGGGGTCCCAAATGGGGGCAGGGGAGCTTGAGGTGAGGCCATTGGGGGTGGGGATCCATTTATTCAATAAATATTCATTGCTCATCCTCTCTGTGCTGGTAGTTGTAGGCAATGAAGATACAGAGGCACTTACATTGGCGTTGGAGAGAGAGAATAAACCAGTAAGGATTAACAGAATGAGGGATTTCAGACAGCACTGACAAGCTCTGGAGAGAAAACTGGATATGACAGAGTGCAGTGGAGGTGACCAGGGTAGACCTGAAAGAGGGAACATTAAAGCTATTCAGTGAGTGACAAGGAGGAGTCAGACAGGTAAAGTTCAGGGAAAGGGTGTTCCAGGCCAAGGGATGGTAAGCAAAGGTCAGTGTGTTCAAGATACAGAAAGAGGGGGAACCAGCAGTTGGCGTAATGGCTATGTCATTGGACTCCCACGTAGTCGACCGCAGTTCACATCCCAGACCCGGGGGCTTAAAACTCACGCCAGGCACGTGTGCGTGCGTGCCCAAGATCCCGAGAGGACAATGGAGGAGAAGGGATTGCGGCGTGACCATCCCCCCTGGGGGGGTGATTTCTCGCTTTCTGTCTCTATGTCTCTCTCTGTCTGTCTGGCGAGCGCACGCGCCCTATAGCGAAAATCTCTCAAAAAAAAAAAAAAAGTTTAAAGATACAGAAAGAGGGACCAGCAGGTGGTGTGGTGGTTAAGGCACTTAATACTCTTATATGGCTGACCACGGTTCGAGTCTTGGACCTGGTGGCTTTCTTTCTCACTTTCTCCCTCTCTCGTCAAATTTAAATAAATAAAATTAAATAATTCTTTTTTAAAAAAAAAGATACAGAAAGAAGGTCAGTGCAGCTATGATATGAGTGAGGGGGAGAGGTAGGAAATGAGGCTGGAGAGACAGCCAGGGCTAGATCACGCGGAACTCTGTAAACCAGAGTATAGAGTTGGGAGTTTATTCTAAGGACCTTAAGGAGCCACTGGAGGGACCAGCAATTAGCGTAATGGCTATGTCGCTGTCTTTGTTGTTGAGTAGGTATGGCTTGTACTTAGAGCAGCTAAGACAAGAACCATCATTAGCTTTCTAAATTTTTATGTTTTGACAGCCTAAGACTGTCCAGGACCTTGCCTTCTACATTCCTGTTTTAATCAAGGTCACTCCACAGCCTGTTTCCAGCAGCAGTGATTTCTGTGGTGGTAGGTGGACAAAAGCAATGGTAGGATCTTCGCTTTGTCTAACCCAGTTGAGGGGACTAGTAGGGAGAGGCAGGGACTGAGGATATATGGGGACCCCATAGTGAGGCTGGACTTTAGGTGAGGAAGGGGCCTAGGCCCTGCCAGGGAGAGGCTGGGTAGGGTAGTAGGGGTGGGTAGAGGTGGGGCAGACCAGAGAGGTCCCTGGTCACTGGAGGTCGCTGGAGGTGGGAGAACCACAGGGGCCAAACTGACCTGTAGGATGTGGTCAACAGCCCCGTCAAGCTTGGTGGCCCTGCCGGTGCCCGGGGATGCTGTGAGACCCAGCACCTGGGGCAGGGGCCGTGTCCTCCGCAGTTTGTGCTCTAGGTACTGACTCAGGATGATGTTGTAGGTGGTGTCCTTGTGCGTGTGGTGACACTCATCCACCACGATCAGGGAGAAGGCTAGGGACACATGGGGGCTGGCTGTTACCTAAGCTTGCTAAGCCCTTCCTCCCATGGACCTGTTTCAGGCAGTCCCACAACTCATGTGAGAATTCCTTTGGCCCTTTACCCTAAAGCCAGGTCCCAGAGGACAAGCCAGGCAGGCATGAGCTGCCTCCATTTGCAGATTGGTAAACTGAGGCTCAACTGGGGAAAGGGACTTACCCAAGACCCTACATTGCAGCCAGGTCTGTTTCTACCAGAGCGCATGCCGGGGTGGGGTAAATGAGAAGCCTCTTAGTCCCACGAAAGCTAGGAGCACCCTTACTGGAAGAGGTACCCCAGGTGTATACCCTTTCCCTGCCCCCAGCCCTCACCTGTGAGCTCCACGTGCTCATCCTCCTCAGGACTGGTCAGCGCCATCTGCAGAAGCTTAGCTGTGCAGATGAGCAAGTCGTTTTGGCGAGCCAGGTAACCAAAGCCTGCACGTGGCCCCATGTCCCCGCTCAGGGTTGCCATGGTCCAGCGTCCATCCAGCATGCGGCCAAACTCCTCAGCATGCTGGGTCACCAGGTGCACCTGGGGGTGGAGGATGAGATGGGCAGAGGAAGCTGATCAAGCGTCAGGGAGTGGGAGCAGGGAGGATGACTCTCAGGACATAGCTGGGTGCTGACCTGGGCTGCAGAGGTGAGCTTAGACAGCCAGAGCCATTCTGGAGTTCTAGGGGGGACTGAGAAGCACCTGAGGAGCTGAGACCTTGCTGAAGGGAGGGCAGACCACTTACCCTGTTGACCAGTACAACCACCTTGGCTCTGTCCACAGTCTCCAGATGCCTCTTGGCCACATAAGCAGCCGCCCGGGTCTTCCCAGCGCCCGTGGGCAGCCATATGATGATATTCTTGCCCTCCAGGGCAGGCATGATCACCTCCCACTGGTAGGGCCGCAGCTCCATGCTGGAATGGCGAGGGACTCACTGCCCCCTCTCCTGGTTTTCCTTTGCCCGGGTCTGCACTCCACCTTGGGGAGGTGGGGAGGGCACCCTCAGGTCCCACCTGGAACCTGTTCTAGCCAATCAGTGAAGCACCTGACCCCTGCCCCGCCAGGATCTCACCTGCACCCCACTTGGTTTAGCCCCTGCTTGACTAGCCCCAGTGCCCTGTGCCGGTGCCGTGGGTGGTGCTTAGCTCAGGGATAGGAAATGAAAATGGAAACTGAAACTAAGGGGAGGGGCCAGCTGAGCTGGAGGACGGTCTTGGAATCTCCCCTGCCCCTGACTGCTTCTGCCCCACTGCAGTCAGCTGTAACCTCTTCCACCCAGACTAAGGTGAGGGTGAGATCTGACCCTGCTGTTCTGGCACCTGACCCAGGAGCAGCCAGGAGAGGGAGAATGGAAGGGCTGCAGCTGGGCAGGTCCTGCACAGGAACACAGGACTCGGCACGAGGCTTGCTGGGAGAAGGGCCCCAGCAGTCTGAGGCCTAATAGGCTCCAGCTTGCTAGAGGGTACTGGCAGAGCCTGCTCAGGCTGGGTCTGTCCCGAAGAAAGAATCACACAGAGGGAGAAAAAAAAAAAAAAAAAGAGCTTTATTATTCCCTCCAAGGGATTAATGCCAGGAATGAAGGGTCCCCAGGTCCCCCACGCTAGGGACGACTGACAACTGACAGACAGTGCAGGGCAAGGCGTGGGCCCCCTAATTCAGCTGGACTTCCAAGCCCTGAGGTCCATTCACTCAAGCTAAAACCAGCCTTCCTGGCTCTCTAGGAAAGAGCCCCCTAATGAGGGCATGACTCCAATCCCCCAGAGCTCTGGCGGACCAGGTCCGGGGGCCACCAGCCAGTTCAGAGGGGCTGGCCCAGACCCAGGCGACATCTCCCCAAGGCCAGATACTATGAAGGTTGGGACACAGCTCAGGTATGGAAGTGCCTGAGGGGCCAGGAAGGGCTGCAGGATCAGAGGCCAGAGTGTCTCAAGCACAGCATTAGGGCTGGGGACCAAATGTACCCCTAAAGACCAGATCAGAATTTGAGTGGCGACAGTCCAGGCCAGGGCTGCAGTCCAAGCCCTCCCTTCCTTGAGCTCAAAATAGAACTCCGGGGCGCTGGTGCAGCAGCAGTACTGTCGGGGGGTGGACTCGTGGCAATTGGCAGTGACCTGCTGCAGGTCAGCCACACACAACTTCCGGGTCATGGAGTGCTTAGAGTCAGAGACAGGGCCCAACTGCACCCCTAAAGATCAGATCGGAATCCGAGTGGGGACAGCCCATGCTAGGGCTGTGGTCTGAAGTAGGGCTACTTGTCAATGAGCCCTCCCTCCTTGAGCTTGAAGTAGAAGAACTTCTCCAGGGCGCTGGCGCAGCGGCAGTACTCGCTGTCAGGAGGGTTGTACTCCCGGCAGTTGGCGATGACCCGCTGCAGGTCAGCCACGAAGAGCTTCCGGGTCACATAGTAGCGACTACGCAGCCGCTCTGTCATGGTCTTCAGGTCTGGGGTGGCAGGGAAGAAGGTGCCACCTTTAAGAGTCTGAGCAGAGGGGCCTCCGAGTGGGTCCTGGGGGGGCAGGATGGCCCAGTGGAGACAGGCACAGGGGAGATTTAGGGGCAAAAGTGGAAAGAAGAGGGAGGATGGAGAGGAGGGTCCTCACCAATGGGGAAGCGGATGACCTCGTAGTAGTCGGGGGCTTCTGACTTCTTCACAGGCTCCATGAAAGGCCAAGCACTGGGGTGCGACTAGAGAGAAAGGCCAAGCTGGGGACAGGCCCACTGTGCCCCAGGCCCACAACTGCCTGGAACCCCCACCCACCCAGACAGGGTCCTATAGCTATAGTCATTGGTGCAGGGACCCCCAGAAGGGAACGTGGTCTCCCACCTTAATCTGGGCCAGCAGGTTTTTAAGGGTTGTGTAGAGCTGGTCGGGGTCCTTGAGCTCCTTCCTGAGGCAAAAGATACCAAGACTGAAGGTCCAGGTCCCTCTGTCCCTCCCAACTCCTTTGACAAAATACTCACCCCTTCTCCTTCCCCAATGGCTTCCAGCCCGTCTCTCCTGCAAAGTGAGGAGTGGGAGAACATCCCTAAGAATGTCCCTTGCCTGTTCACAACCCAGTGTGTCCTCCCATCCCTCAGTCAGCTCCCGCCCCTGCCAGGACCCTGCTCACGAATGCCAGGGACGCTCTCCACAGGGATCTGCCTCACGCCCTCTTTGAAGCAGCTGAGCCCAGGGTAGACCTTGCGGATCTGGGCCTGCTTGCGCTCAATCAACTTCTTGATGATCTGAGGGAAGGACCACAGTCAGAACCCATGGTGGGAGAACCCGGCTCACTGCCACCGGACCCAGCCCCTCCCCTCCTGACTGCCCCACCTCATACACACGGTCCAGGACTACACACACGTGTCGCTCCCCGTACATACGCTCACGGGAGACCCCACAGACGTGCGCACACACACACAACCTCTTTCTGCTTCTTGATGATGTGGGACAGCTCCGTATAGGGGATCCGGGGGTTCAGCTCACACTCCATCAGTGTCGCACCCTCGTAGTCCTTGATGTAGCCCAGGTAGCGGCTCTTGGGCACCTTGATGTCCTTGGAGAAGCCCTGGAGGAGGGCCAAATCCATCAACAAGTGCTTCCCAACTTTCAGAGCCTCCCACCCCTGAGGCAGCATGTGCCATGTCCCATCCCACTCCTGAGCCCTCTCCCATGACACTGAGAAGGCTCCATCTGTTCCTGGGGAGGCTCCAGGTCCGCTTCCCCTCGCCATCAAGATCCTCTCAATTCTTCAACCTGCCCTACAGGGCCCTATTCTTCACTGGGGCAGCAGAAGGCAAGAGGAAGAGAGGCCTGAGACTTCCTCACAGGCATCAGGTGGAAGGACACAAAGGGAGCTCCACTCCACCTCCAGCAAGGGGCTGGAGAGAACAAGCCCGGGCCCCAGACAGCAGGCAGGCGTGGGGTGAGGCCACGGGTCACCTGCTTTTTGAAGTAGCCGATGGCATACTCGTCGGCGTAGGTGAGGAAGTAGAGGATGTTGTGTTTGATGTGGTACTCCTTCAGGTGGTTCATCAGGTGAGTCCCATAGCCCTGCAGGGGACAGCAGGGCTTACAGGGGAAGGAAGGGCCGGCCTGGTCCCCAGGCCCCAGAGAGGAAGGAGGTAAGGAGAGCCAGAGGATCCAGGGCAGGGAGGAGGAAAGGCAACTGGTACAGGAAGGGACTTTATAGGCAGAAAAATAAAGCACACTGGATTTCTAGAGGCTTGCTACTTTACAGATCTTGAATTGACTCATGAGGCAGGGATTATGACTTCTATTTTACAGAAGAGAAAACCGAAACTCAGCTATCTTAGGAACTGCGTCCAAGGTCAGGTGCTGGCACGGCACAGCACGGCCATTGGTGCCCAGCTCCCAGGCTCAGGGTTGGGGGAAGAGGGAGGAGCCTGCTCATCCCGGCATCTGAGCCCTGAAGAGAAACCGCCGTCCACGTCAGGACCAAGGAGGCCCCACACACTCGGTTATGTGAGACATGGCCCCGCCACTGTGGCACAGCACAATGGTGTCCAGCAAGGCCACAGGCCACATGGCTTAATGTGGGTTCAGATCTCTGGGACGGCCTGAAAACATGCTGGGAACGTGTGGGCACCAGGACCCTAAAGAGCCAGGAGGCGTGGGAACGGGGATTGTGTGACGAGACTGTTAAGGGTGCTGTTTGAGGCTGGGTGTGGATCATGGCATCAGGTCTCTGCCCCTCTCGCTCATGGAAGAAATAAAAGGGTATACTTAGAGAAAAAAATACACGGCGTGAGGACATGGGTAATTTAAAGAGTAAAAGCCAGGACTGTCAGTGCAGGGCTATCGTGATAAGGATGAACTCCCCGACGTATGTAAATATTCTTGTGATGAGGAAAACACAAGTCCATGGGGTCCAGCTCAAAATGTGGCGGACTTCTGGGTGCCACCATCTGTCAACAGCTATTTTCTGAATCTACCGTTGTCAAAGTACAGCTGCCACCTTGTGGGCATGTGAGGAACTGGCCGCTAAAAGAAGGGCTGGTGGCTGCCCTATCTCCCACACCCACACGCGGCTGCCCTGACTTGATGCTGCCCTGACTTCCGCCCATCCAAAACAGCCAAAATGCAGAAACAGGTGGGGAGGGCCAGGGGTCAAGGGCACCGCGCTCACCTTGACCTGCTCATTTGATGTTACAGCACAGAAGACAATCTCCGTGAAGCCTTGGGTGGGAAACATGCGGAAGCAGATCCCACCGATGACCCGCCCGTCCTTGATCAAGGCCAGAGTCTTATGCTTCCTAAGAGAAAGGGGGCCCATCACAGCCTGACCTGCCGCTTATCCCATGCTCTCCAGGTCCCCACAACCTGCATGCCTGAGCTAGAGTCAGGGCTGGGGACGGAGGAGCAAGAATTCTCAAAGGTGGCCTCAGAAGAGGGGAGAAGTCTCCCCGGTTTTGAGGAGGGAAGCCAAGGGGGAGAGGCCACCTGGTGTGGCGCCCTGGGGTCAGAGCTCTCCTGGGGACGCACGGGTCAAAGACGAGGCGGGCGATGTACTCCTTGGGCATGCGTGGCAGCTGGTGGGAGAAGACATTCTGCAGCCCCACAAGCCAGAGCAGCACCCGGCGGTTGGCCTTGGGCGTGAGTGAGTTGCCGATGACATGGAACTCGATGATGCCACGGCGCTCCTCCAGGCGGGCTGTCTCGTCCCGGGCTGCGTTGGCCGACAGCAGGCTCGTCTAGGTGCAGAGGAGGGGCAGTGAGCCAGGGCCTCCAATGGGGAGGGTCCTCTCCCCACACTGGCCAGCAGGCCAGGCTGCCTACCTCGGGCCCTAGCATGGCGGCGGGGTCAGTGATGGTCAGCATGACTTCGTTGACCAGCTCCATAGGAATGTCACCCATCACACGAAGCCGCTTAGCATCCTCCAGGGTCAGGTTCTCTGGGAGCTTCCTCTTCTCACCTGCTGGGGAGGTTTGGCAAGGTCACTCATGGACATAAAGGGTTGGGGGATGAATGAACATCAGAGGTCAGGGATCAAGTACCCACCTGGCATGGGCTCAGCTCCTGTAGAATCTAGACTCAGGGAGCTGTTGCTGCTCCCACCCATGGTGGGGCTGAAGATGGGGGTGCTGGGAACAACTGCTGCACTAACTGTAGCTGAGAGAGTGAGCAAGAAATCAGGGAGAGGCGGTCAAAGCCCTCGAAG